AAATTTTTTTTTTCAGCTTTAGCAAAGTTTCTCAAGGAGAAAGAACACAATCGTCCTTTCACCAATTCAACTCATCATCCCTATTTCAGCCTTTCCCGTTAACATTTTGTCACTGGTTGTCAGTGATTGGTCGGAAGTGCGACCCTTTGTGATTGAACGCTCACCTTGGTTCATCGTCATTGATTTCCGCTGAATTAGTGTCTTTCGTGCAATACGCATGTCACATCTGTAGTCTGTACGAAACATTCTCACTGCCATTATCACTTGCAGCTAATCACTATTTTTATGCCCAATGTTTAATTAAAATTAATCACTTATCATGCAACTCCAAAAACGATGTTACTGTCTTCAAAAAAAAAAAAAACGAAAACGGCAGGGTGAGCATAGTAATAATATATAGCAAATATGAAGAATCATATGCTTACTATGTTCTGCTGTCAAAGACAAGAATGCACAGAATGCAATCTCTCAAGAATTATTGCTTATGTGGCATTACCTGTTCCAGAAGGGCGAACTGCTGCTAACTATTATATTGCTTACCCTAAGTATTGGAAATGTCGGTCCTACTCTTTAAGATCGCAGAGTGACCTTCGTTAAAGGACACTAGCAATAATACTGCACTTGATTTTTGCCTACAAAGTTGCTTTTTTTTCCTCGGCCACAACTAATATACATATCGTCTAACTTCTCTGTCACTCCTAAAAATTAGTGCATTATCTTAATTCATTACTGAAAAAAATCATTCCCCTTCTACCTGTTCTCCGACAAAAAGAAGACTCTTTCTAATGGGGATTTTTCAATTCAATTTTCTTTTAGATGTGATTAGTCTGCAATTTTTTCTCCAACTCGTTAATCTCTTTTTCCCATTTCATTCGTTTCAATCCGCCGCTCTTCCAGAAATAAGGTTTTATTGACGTTTTTCCCATTAATCTATTGCTTGGTATGCCGCAACGTAGATTTGCCATATCAAGAAAGTACAATACGCATACATGTATGTCACAATAAGACAGTGTATATGAGACTTCTTCTAACATAGCTGATTTGTGTTGATGCACAATGAGCGCCATTACTTAACACGAATTGTGTATTGTCCTTTAAAGTAATCACCTGATTTACGAGAACGTTATTAATGCTCTAGAAAACTGAGTATGAGTCATTCAAGTGAAGCTCTATGAAAACGGCTGCCCGAAAGCAAACAGAGAGAATTGCGCTTAGCTTGAGTAGCTCGGTAGATAGCAATCAATGTCTATGTCTGTCTCTTTCAAGTTATACTATCTTGTTCTTGTTAGAATAAACATGTAATTTTGCTACTGAACCACAAATCACATCCCAGGACATACCGGAGAAATTTTTCAGCGTGCTTATTTGTGTCGTATACTGCAAGCTCAAATCTGCACAAGGCTTCTCTAGCAGATCTCCATATAAAGTCCGCTTGTGCCGCAATTTACAGGAATGGGTAAGGATTATAGATACGGCGGCTACCAGTATGGTTACTCTCAGGCTCCAACCGCTCCTAGTATGGAAATTACAATTAATCAGGTACAATCATTATTCTCTTCCCATATGCAGTTTTTGAAACCCTGAGCTCTCTTCCTTCATTCTTTGGACTTCAACAAACCAACTTCTTTTGTATTTAAAGAATAAATATTCGAAATTTAGAACAGTGCGGAGCCGTCAAAAACCAATTACCAAGCTCCCACCACAGCTGCACAATTTCGGCCCCCATTGGCGGCACCTAATCATCCACCACCGCCTCCACCTTCATATGCGGGCTACGAACATCCAGCTTATAATCCACTTTGGTTCGACCGATTTCCAAGACGGGAAAACAGAGGGATGTTCCGTCTATGTCTTGTGGAACTGATGTTGGCTGGTAAAAATTCATTGCATATTCCCTAGTAGTTGAAACTATACAAAATCTATGTAACTCTAGTTGTCATACTGGGTGGAGGTATCTGGTGCTACCATGATACTGCTGACTACTGCCCGTATTATTCCGCAATATGGACGTCTGTTATCTACATAGTAAACGCCTTGGTGAGTTCGAGCACGCCTGGATCTCACCTGGATCAACAAATGGTTTTTTGGCTTTTGAAGGTAGGAAGTGCTGCTGCCAAGATCGGCTCGATCAATCTCTACACGGCTCATCTAGTACTGTCGCTGGTAGCAGTCATGATGTGTTTTGTCAGCGGAGCGCTAAGTGCTCGGTAAACGTATTTCGCAACAGACTAGCCAAGCATTATCAAGTTCTAGTGAACTAAACACCTAATAATCTTCTCGTTGCTTAGCTAAAAAAATCATTTTCAACAGGAACTGGACCCTCGTCGGCACATACCATCACCCGCGCATTGAAAGAGATGAAGCGTTCTGCCTTCTCGGAGAGCACGACACAACCAGGTGTCCGTGAGCAGTGGGACTGTTCTTTTCCTTTCAAAAAACTTTAAACTCCACTTTTCAAATGCACTTTTGATGATATTGGGTTATAGTATAGGTTCGTACCAATTTTTCAACCTCAAAAAATCCAGATAC